GTATGTGTCGGTTGATACACGTATGTACATAGAAGCGTGAGTCAATGGTTATACATATGGTGTGTATATACACACGGATAACCAGATATATGGCTAGATAGATAGGTGGTTCACTGGATGGATACGAAGATGAATGGGAGGATGTAACGACTCGTGAACAGATAGAAAGATGAAAAGACGGACAGATGGTTGATTTGGCGATACTTTGGTGGACGGGAAGGCAAAGCATTGGCAGGTACTCAGGTAGAACGACGGATGCATGCATGGGCATGTCGATGGAGAGTGCAAGAGAGAGAGAGAGAGAGAGGACGAGAGAGAGAGAGAAAGACAGAGACTGATGCCCATTTACATTAGCACAGGGATATCCATGGATAAACGTACACATATACCGATGGACCAGCAGATAGGTGTGCAAACTCGAGTACACATTCAAATACAACATATTGGAGGATGGGTATAAGTGTAGCCATCTATTGGTATACGAATGTGTGTGTATCTGGATATGGATTTACACACGTTGAGAACAAAAGAGGAAGAGAAAGAGAGATAGAGATAGAGAGAGAGATAGAGAAAGAGAGATAAGAACACATATACATAAACAGAGGCAGAGAGAGAGAGAGATAGAGAGAGAAGGCAACCACCCCTCCCCTTTTGATTCCCGCTTCCGCGCGCGCGCGGAAAGTGCGAAGGCAACCGCTGCCCTCTCCCATTGCCCACTCTGCGTTGAGCGCGCGTGGGAAGTGGGAGAGGGTACCCGCTGCCCCCGCTACCTCATGCCGCCCATTTTGGGCGTGCAGGGTGGGAGAGGGCAACCGCCACGCGCCCCCACTGATCTCAGTGTTGTGTGTGGGAGTGTCAGAGAACAACCACCCCCATCCCCCACAAGGAGGGCAGCCACTTCCCCGTCCCAGCTCGCTCTCTGCGCTGCGCGCGCGGAGAGAGGGAAAGAGAAAGAGATAGAGAGAAGGAGCACAACCACTCCCCTTCTCGGATCTCCTCTTCTGCGTCGTGCGTGGAAGGTGTGAAGAGGAGCAACCGCTGCCCTCTTCCATTGGCCACTGTGGGTTGTGGAGAGTGAGAGAGAGGAGCAAGAGAGAGAGAGAGAGAGAGAGAGAGAGACAGACCCCACCCCAAAAAAACGACCGCTGCCCTCTTCGTTTCCCCCTCCCGTTTGTGCTTGCACCAAGAGAAAAAGAAAGAAAAGGAGCGAAAGCAACCGCTACCGTCTCCAAATGGAGGAGAAATCGAAAGGATCAGGAGAAGCAAACAGAACAAGTGAACTACGCAAGACATTTTTATATATATATATATACACATAACTCTACCAAAAGAAAGATCTCATGACCGATATAGGGGCGAGAGATCGATGCGGAAGGAAATTAAAACATTGCGGGGCAGAGAGAGAGAGGAAGGGAACACGAAACTCAGTGGACAGAAACACGGGAACGACCAGAAACCGAGTCGGCGCCAAGAGGCCCCCAAGATGGCCCCGAAAGGGGCGCACGACGGCGAGGCCTCCGAGACGCTCCCGGAGCGACGGACGCACGGCGAGCAGCAACTGACAACCGCTCTGCCAAAGCGGCCCTGGGCACGCACGACGTAATACAAGCAGCGCAAGCGGCGGCATGCAACGACTCAACCAGGACGACCACGAGGACTGGCGAAAGGCATGCAACGATGCGGACGCCACTCGTTAGACGCACGGGGGCCCTGTGGTTGATTTGGTTCAATGCTTGCCCGTCGTCGCTCCCTGGTCAAGGCAACTCCCCTGGCGTCCGTTTCTGGATGGGCTGGTGCGGATACTTTTTGGTGCGCGGGCGCGCGAAGACGAGCCGAACGCCTTGCAAGCAGAGGCGGGCCGCGCCGAGGCACAGGGGCTAACAGCGATGCGAGCGGCGCCCGCTCTGGTGCGGATACTTTTTTTGATTGGCGGCTCCAAGGACAGCTCCAGGGAGCGGGACGGACTCGGCTGGGGCACAGGGCGAGACAATTAGCTGCTGGGGCGCATAGGCCGCGGCAGCGGGTGCACGTGCCAGGGACAAAATGACCCTCATTAAGACGCAGGCGACCCGAAATCGGGGAACGCATGCACCAAACTAGAAAACGGACGGAAGGAGCAGTCGCACAAGAGGGTCTGGTGCGGATGCGCGAAGCGTCCAACATGTTTCAAGCCGCGTCCAGCCGTGGCGGCGAGGGTGGCCCCATCCTCCCCCCTTTCCTGCTGGCCAGGACAGGTGCTTCAACGCCTCAGCCCCCCAGCCGTCCTCAACCACAGGACAACAAAATCTCATGGGGCACCCGATGGTGGGCCGATTTTTTCACGCTGCGTGCCTTCTGTGGGGAGGACCCCTGGCCCCTCCCCCACCGTGCGCCCCTGGTGCTCACCAGCGACTCCGGCGCGGCCTCCCCGCTCTCTCCTCTCTTCATTCCTCCATTCTCCCTCCCTCCCTCCCCGCTCTTCTCCTTGAGGCCATTTCTTGTTTGCAAGATGTACATCTAAATACATATATACATATATATATATATACACATACAAACATGCATACGAACACACATATCTATATACACACAACATACATGCATGCATCCATAAGCACATACAGACAGACAGACAGACAGACAGACAGACAGACAGACAGACAGACAGACATACATACATGCATACCTACATGCATGCATGCATGCATGCATACATACGTTCATACATACATACATACATACATACATACATACATACATACATACATACATACATGCATGCATGCATGCATGCATGCATGCATGCATGCATGCCTACATACATACATACATGCATACACATATACAAACATGCATACACATATACACACACCTACATGCATGCATACGTACATACATACGTGCTTACAAACATACATAGATACACATACATCCACGCATACAACTATACGTGCACATACACACACGTATATCCATCCATCCATACATACATACATGCATACATACATGCATACATAACAAAATAATGGACACCACATGAGCATTTAATCAAATAGTACAGAAAAACGCTGAATGAACACATGGACACGGCGATGACGGGCGTCATGGGGGGGGGAAAGGGGGGGTATGACGTAACGCCCCCCCCCCCCGCCGTGTGGCTCCGGCACCGCAGCCGCGCCCGCGCGCGCGACGCGACGAGCGACGAGCGACGACCAACGACGACGACGACGACGACGCGAGCAGCATGTAGGTAGCGATATGCCCCGTTGAGCCTGTGTACACCACAACGCTCGCGTGCACCACAGAGCGCGTGTATACCACAGTGCCTGCGCACACTGCAACAACCGTGTGCAACGCAGCGCCTGTGTACACCACAGTGCCTGCGTACACTACAGCGCTGATGTACATGTGTACACCGCAGCTACCATGTGCAACACAGCGCCTGTGTACACCACGATGCTTGCGTGCACCTCAGAGCCTGTGCACGCCACAGCGCGCGTCTACACCACAGCATCCGCGTGCAACGCAGCGCTGGTGTACACCACAATGCCTGCGTGCATAGGACAAGTAGAAGGAGCATCTACGTGAGGATCTTCTGCGGACAACTAGACGCCACGACAGAAAAGTGCGGATAATCGAATGCGACGTTATTCCATCCTCCCTCCTCCTCCACCCCCACCACCTCGTCTTCCTCCTGCTCCTGCTCCTGCCCTTCCTCCTGCTCCTCCTCCTCCTCCTTCTCCTCCTCTTCCTCCTCCTTACACCCTGTCGTGCGGGTTGGGGCTACAGCGCACGTGCGCATCTCAGCGCGCACCGCAGAATGGTCGATTGAATCTGTCCATTTGGTTCTCGGACGGCCAATTCAGCTGGAGCCTCCAGGACGCAAATAAGAGGAGTTGGGGGGATGCGGGCGGACTCGGGAGGACTCGCAGATTCCAGCGGCGCTCCGTTGTCAATAAGGAATATTTTATATTGTTTTCTGTGGACTCCACAAGCGCTCCATTTTGTCATAAGGATTCGTTGTGACATTCTATATACAACAGTGATGATGTGATGCGAACGGTTGCTGTGGTGCTGGTGCACACAGGCGCCGTGGTGCACACAGGCACTGCAATGAACGC